AGGCCCGAAACGTCAGCCTTCCTGCTCCTCTGATGCTGCTTGGCCTGCTGTGTTCATCCAGCTCTACACCTCGTTATCTCAGATTCTCCAGCATCTGCAGTTCCTACTATCAATGAAGAAAACTGCTTGTTTACAGCACATACACATGCAATTGCTAGCTTTGTCATTTGCAGACTTCTTTGAGTTGCTTCAATCTCACCAACCCCACTCTGGCCTCAGCTCTATGAGCTTATTTTAGAATTGATAATTAAATAAATATACCTAGTTGCACATGTTATGTTAACCACGGTCATTGAAAAATCACAGTGATATTCTTACCCCTTGTGAGTCAAATAATTTAAAAAATATAGACGGATTTTCAGAATTTGCCCAAAATGTCATGAAATGTATTCATTTTCAAGGCAAGTTAATAGTTTTTTAATTCAATCATCTAATGTGAGCATCACTGGCAATGCTGTTCATTGTCCATTCTTAGTTTGCCCCTGTAAACTTGATGATGATAATCCTCCATATGGAACTGTTGCAGTCCATGTGTGTTATGGGTACATGCATAGATTAGTTAGAGAGGTGGTTTCATGATTTTGACCCAGTGACAGTGAAGAAACGAGAATATCAAGTCAAGACAGTGTACAGTTTGGGGGTAACTTGCAGGTGTGGCGTTCCTGTGTATCTGCTCCCCTTGTTCTTTTAGGTGATAGATATCAAGATTTGGAAGGTGCTGTTAAAGGATGCTTGGTGAGTTGCTGCAATGCATCATGCAAATAGTATACACTGTTACTTCTGTGTGTTAGTGGGAGAGAGAGTGAAAGTTCAGAGTGGTAGATGGGTGCCAATGGAATGGGTCATGTTATTCTGAATGGTGCACAGGAGCATAGGAACAAGAGTAAGCCATTTGACACCTTGAGCCTGTTCTGACATTCTAGATCATAGTTGTTCATTTACATCAGTGCAATTTTCCCATGTTAATCCATATTCTTTGCTGTCATTAGCATCTAGAAATTTATTATATGCAATGATTAAACTTCCATATCCCTTTGCAAGTAGGAAGGAATCATTCTTTGGGGTCTCTGAAGCACAGTCTTCACTGGCCTAATAGCAGCACTGTCAGTACGTTCATTGTCCTTGCTGCAGAATTTCCAACCTTAAACCCTTCTTTGTAGCTGTATTATTTAGATGACACATCCAGTTAAATAAGTTGCAGGATGTTCATTGTGTGAGATTCAGAAACTATAATGCTGTTGGAGAACAAGGGGAAATGGTTAGATTCTCTCTTATTAGATACATCATGCCTGGAACTTGTGAATATGAATGTTTCTTGGCAGTCTAAACATTGGTGTTCATTTCTAATAGCATTAAATTGAAAAGAGGGGTCATATTAAACCTAACCAGAGACTTGGTGAAACCACCCAGAAAGTGGTTATTGTTTAGAATGTGTAACTCTCTACCACATGAACTAAATGAGATAAATAGATGCATCTAAGAGAAAGCTAGCCATATAAATTGTGTGGTAGCAATGATAGAGCTAAAGGTGAAAATTCTGCAGCGGGTAACTCATTTCTTGACTCACCACAGCCGGTTCACCATCTAGAACAATACTTTCCATTTGTCTGATGAGTATGGTTCAACAACACTCCAGAGGCTCAAGACCATCAAGGACAAAGCAGCCCAGTTGATTGGCACCCCATCCACCACCTTCAATGTTCACTGTGTCCACCAGCAGTGCATATTGGCAGCGTGTTTTACATAAACAAGATGCACTGAAGCAACTAACCCAAGACCCTTTGGTAATACCCTCCAGCCCCATGACATTCACCATAGAGTCATAGAATCATACAATACAGAATAGGCCCCTTCAGCCCTTCAAGTCTGTACCACCAAAAATATACTACCTACACTGGTCCCACGTTTCTGCTCTAGGCCCATAGCCTTGAATGATATGATGCTTCAAGTGCTCATGCAAATAATTTTTAAAGGTTATGAGATTTCCCACATCACCTACCCTCTGAGGCAGTGCATTCCAGACCACATCTCCCTCTGAATGAGAAGGTTTTTCCTCAAATCCCTTCTAAACCACCT